TTGACGTGGTGGTGAAATAAATTTTTTTTTGCAGTTTTTGTCAATTATTTAAATTAAAAAATGTTGATTTTTAAAAACCTTTTATATAACAAATGCGGGAAATTACCTTCTCTACAAATTTCCATTTAATAATGTTTTACGAAAAATGCAAAATAAGCTTGCAAATCGCAAAACACCCAAAAAAAACCTAAAATCCAAGATGGCGAAATGTTGCCATATGAAATTTAGGGGCAAAACTGTGGATCCATGCTGCATCAAAAAATCGCTGTTAAAAAATTTTTTTTTTCTTCTTACCAATTTGATCTAATTTTTCTGGGCTAGTCAAGCGCTATACAAGGCCAGCATTAATATCACCCGTCACAGTTAATTCTTAGGTGTATTTTTATATCAGAATCACATTTTTGTGAAAAGTGCAGATAGAGGGTATTGAATATAAGCCCTCGATATGTAGATGTACCTATTATAAGAACAACAAACATTCCCAGTAGGAACTTGAAGTACATAATAAGCCTTACCAGCAACTTACTCTTCACTCGGCGGTTCTTAGTAGTACCAGGAGTAGCTCGACGTTCTATAGTATCTTCGGCGTCACATTATGTTAGAAGTTGTTTTCGTAAGGCGTACTCGGAAGTGTTCAATTTGGGCTTTATTAATAGATGCCAATAGTCCTGATAACAATTTGAGTACTAAAAGCTGAAAGAAAACATGGATTACCTCGTAAGGTGCTTACCTACTTTCCCAACTGGGCTGCGTTCTACCGAGAGTATGTATGTACATTAGCGTGGGCCCAAAAACCGCTTTTTAAGATTTTTAATTAGTAATAGCAATTCGGACTTAATCCGGATCAACTGCAGTTACTCCCGAGTTGATCCGGATCAACGCTGCCGTCTGTTTGTGCTTTAAGATATTGACCAAAAATCGTCATCTTTCACACAGATTGTGTTTAGAGCATAATGAACCATATTTTTGATATTATCAATCTAAATTCTAAAAAAGCTGATTTTCGGCCCACGCTAATGTACATACATACATATGTATGTGTGTGTCAATGTCAAAAATTTTTTTGTTATGCTGATACCCATAAATAATTGAGATAACTTAAGGTGAATAGCTTTAAGTTTATTAGTTTATTATTTGGCCTACAAAGTGACCGAAATTTTTACTGTTGAATTATATTGCGAAAACAGAAAGGAGTTCAATATTCAAAACGATGTAATAAAATAAAATAAAATGCGATGGTATGAAATGAAGTAAAATAAATAAAATTAGCTTTGTTTAACTCGCTTAAAAGTTAGATTCGGCGGTAGTAGGACTCACTAAGATTCAGGGTGCTTTGTGAAATTTCAGTAGGCCATATCCAATTTCTCCCTGAAAACAGCTTACAACTCAGCAAAAAATATGGAAAGTTCTTATATATGTACATATGTAGTATGTATCTACTTAATATAAATCAGTAAATAAAGAACTGCTATGAGTTTTTACTCTGCGTCTGCCTAATGCTGTGCAGTGGCGGGGCAGGTGTTGAATTATGTCCTCCTCAACCTCATTCAAACAATTTCTGCAGTAATCGCTTCAAATGGCGCTAAATACTCTTTTAGCAGCCTATGATTCTACCAAAGAAATCTCGGTAAAAATTGCGTGGTTATGCGATGTCTTGCCACGTATCTAACTAAATCACGCTATACCTGGACGACATGTAAAAAACCGCGCTTTTGGAGATATTTTGATGCGCCATTATGAAAAAAAAAACGCAATTGTGAAAAAGTTTACATGTGCGACAAAAACAAAAAAAATCTAAAGACACGAAGCAATCAATGTACTCACGAAACTATAGACGCCAGGATTTTTTAAAAGGGAAGTTATGGTTTTAAAGATATCGTCTCTAGCGACGAATAAAGGCGCGCTAGTGTTTGGATGGCGAAAAACGACGCTTAAAAAAATTTATGATAAAAGGCGCTTAAGAAAAACATCGGTGAAGATAGACACATAAACATACATTTATACCTGGAAAAGGACTGTCACTTCAGCATCATTCCCCAAAAACTCTTTAGGGGAATTTACATACTGTTACACCGACAAACATAGTTGACCGCGAAAAAAAGTTTACGCGTCCTTCTTCGCCGTCAAATATTTTAGCGCGTCTTTCTTCGCTGTCAACTACCCAGCCAGCAAAAAAACTGCGAAAATCGATCCGAAAAAGGCAAAAAAGTGGATAAAGTGCGAATTTTTGTCCATTTACCTATTCCATTTTCGGATACTTTGATGATCCGTTTTCCCACTAAAGTGTGGGGCAGAATTGCATGTACATATCCTGCAGAAAAAAATTATCAATTGAATAAAAAAAAAACAACTTCCAGTTAGCTTTTTTGCGGGAGTTCGATAAATAACTAACTTTTAATTAGCTATGACAAAACTAACTTTTAAGTTAGTTGTAAAGTCATGCAAGAGTCATGCAGACATTATCGGGAGTTTGTTTTCTTTACAAGTTTCTATTCAAATATCCTCACAAAAATTACTTTCAATACACTTTTTTTCTGAACTTCGCAGATTCTTTTTCGTATTCAGGACAAATAAGAGGAAGATCGAAATTTTACATTATCATTTTGAAGTTACCCTGCAGAAAAAAATTATCAATTGATAAAAAATAACCTACTTGTAGTTAGCTTTTTTGCGGATTTTCTATAAAATATATAACTTGTAGTTAGCTACAAAAAGCTAACTTGAAACAAGTGGACAAGTAATGCAGGATTGTTTTCTTTAAACGCGTTTCTATTCAAATATCCTGCACTTCGCAAATATTTTTTCGAATTGGGGACAAATAAAAGGAAGACCGAAATTTCATATTATCATTTTGAAGTTATGTCTGACGGAGTTCGAATATTAGACCACCAACAGCAGAATTTGTAAACAAATATGAAATGTGAAAAAATAAAGTAAAAAAAAAAAAAACAAATGAAAAAAATATTTGGTTTTCCTATTGATATTTTATGCAGCAGAATATACATATAACCAAATATGAAATGTGATAAAATAAATAAATAAATAAATAAAAAAACAAAAAAAAAATATTTTGTTTTTCCTATTGATATTTTATGCCCAAAAGTAGTTAGTTACAAGTTAGTTACATTAAATGCAGAGGTAACCACCCGTGACTATTTCGCGGCCATCGCCATAGAAATATAGTTAGCTTTCGTCAAAGAAAATATACAGATAATAGTGACTTATAGCTCCTTCCGAATCAACTTAAAGTTAGCTTATAGTTAGATACATTTCCTGCAGGGTATGTTTGACGGTGTTCAAATATGGGACCACCCGCCGTAGAATATGTAAACAAATATGAAATGTAATAAAATAAAGTAATTAAAAATAAATAAAAATAAAAAAGTAAAAAACAAAAAAATATTTTGTTTTTCTTATTGATATTTTATGTTCAAAAGTTGTTACCTACAAGGTAGTTGACATCTAATGCAGAGGAAACCAGTTCTCACTTTTTTGCGGCCATCGACCTTCACAAGTAGTTAGTTACGGCCAAAGGAAATAGTTAATAAATAGTTACAAGTCGAATGCTAGTTAGGGTATGTACAGACATGTACCGAAAATGGTTTGTGAAACGGATACTTTTTTTGCTGATTTTCTGAAATTAGTCTGATTGAATTTTTCGATCAATACGCTTTCCTTGTGCACTTCACAGATACTTTTTCATGGTTCAAAAAAATAAAATTAAGGAAGCCGCCTGATGGAATTCGAACCCGGCACCTTCTGGAGGCTAACAAATAGCGGCACGCTCCTCCGCACAAATGTTTAGCTTGAACAAGTGTAATACAATTATTGCTTTCAAACAACATCTTTTTCGAACGTTTTGCTGATACGAAAATAAATGACAACTACCGTCAAAATTTACGTTTCTCTGCTGGCTGGGTAGTACGTTAAGAGTTTTTCCTCGCTGAAGTTTTTTTATGCGTATTTTTTCACGCGCCTTTATTCGTGTCTAGTGACGATATGATTAATTCCAAAAATGATTTTAAAAATTTAGTGCAATGTAGTAGAGTCCAACCGATTGTTCGTCTTCGGCTTCGGTTTGCCGATTAATTGGCAATAGTAAAAAGTGAGTAACAACAAAAAGTACGGGAACAAAAAAAGCATTTTTCCTGTAAAAACGTCAACCAGTGACACTCTTCATGATTTTACCAGAAGAAAAAGTTCGGGCAAAATCTTGCAACTTCATTCCCTACACAACTCTCCAAAAATCGCTCTCATTTACAGGATTTTGGAGGAATTTGGAGTACGGGAACATTTTTCCTGCAAGTTCGTGTAAAAACCTGTAAGTTCATGGAGTACTGGATCAGAGCTATTATTTTTCTCTATGCCTTTTCAATGAAAAACGAGATGCCATATGTGTTAAAATTACATTTTTATTGGTGTTGCCACAGAAAATTTTAGTTCGCTTTAATGAACTAGTTCAATCAAAAGGATCAAAAGAGCCGGCTCTTTCGCACTTTAGCTCAAAAGCATAATTTCTATGGTCATAAGCAATAACCGCCTAAGTCAGNCGTTTGGTGTGATAAGTTGAGGTTATGTGTGTTTTGTTGCCGGGGTGCATGTTGCTGTCGGGTGTTGTTTGGTCCGCCTGGCTGCTGGTTGTGCGTTGCGGTGGTTACAGGCTGGCAACAGGCTGCGATGTAGTTTGCTTGCCATTCTCTGTGGCTGTTAAGGCCTGAGCACTGTCTGAGATGGCACCATCGATTGCAATTTGTGCAGCGCACCGATATAGAGCGGTGGTGAATTCTGAGTTCGCAGACACTGCACGTGTAAGGTCCAGGGTTTTTTTCGATTCCGGCGCGGGCGAGGAGAATACGGAGCAGAGTTGCCGGAAAGTCCTGCTCCGATGATGAAAAATTGTGAATTCGGGGATGTATGCTGAAGTGATGGTCCTTGGCCGGTGTGACCGGGTCGATCTGGTGAACGTAGAACCGACCATCGTGAGATTCTTTCTTTCTATTCTTTCTTAAGTCGACTTAGGCGGTTATTGCTTGTGACCACAGAATTAATATTGTGGTGAATAGACTATAGTACAATAATTTAAAAATTTATTTTTTACTTTGCTTTTGTACCGCTCCGTACTTGCTCCTTTTAGGAGCAGCTAACTTTCAGTCCCGTTGGGATATGTATACATACATATGTATATTTTCTGGCACGGTCAAAATGTGTTGGAACAAAATAAAGTAAACGTTGGAATATATTATATCTTATATTTATTATTAAGATTTCGTTTCCATTTTACTTTGAAACCTCGCGTATAGGTTCATCTGACTTTTCGAAAGCGAAGATTTCGAATTTTCTAAAGCAGTAGCAAAATCATTTGCCGTTATTTTACAATCATCATTGGTCTCTTCAATCCGTTGAAAGGCTAACAATGCAGCTTCATTGCACAAATTGCACATATCAGCACCTGTGTATTGTTCTGTGCCTTCAGCTATTTGAGCCAAATTTACATCTCCAGCAAAAGGCATACGTTTAGCGTGTAGCTCAAGAATAGAAATACGCGATTGCATATCGGGTGGTGGCACAAATATATGTTTACTTAAACGTCCTGGACGCAATAGCGCATCATCGATCATGTCTGGCCGATTACTAGCTGCAACAACAAGTATTTCTTGATTACTTTCATCCGATCCATCAATAATGCCATCCATTTCTGTCAGTAAGGTGGACAGTACACGAACTTGTATATCACTTGAATTGTTTGAGCTGATGGGCCGGCGACCTGCTAGAGCGTCTGAAAGAAAAATAATAATTTTAATTATCTAATTAAATTAGTTGACTGTGTAATTTTTGCAAACCCATTTCGTCAAAGAACAGCAGACAAGGTGCATTTTTTCGCGCTGTATCAAATAATCTTGATATAAATTTTTCTGCGAAACCGACATAGGGTGAGTAAACCTCAGCACCAGATATGGAGATAAATGTCATATCGGATTCTTTGGATAGGCATTTCGCGAATGTTGTTTTAGCGCAGCCGGGAGGACCGTATAGAAGCAAACCTGCCAAATGATAAATTCAAATTTCAAGGATTAAAAATGAACTAATAGAATTTTTGTTAAATAGGTATAACTATTTACCTTTCGGCAATTTTAATCCAAAATGTCGAAATTTTTCCCGTCTTCGTAGTCCAGCTAGCACGCTTACTTCCAGGGTACGCTTTAAGTTATCCATTCCGCCAATAAATTCAAAACCGTGTTCAATTTTTTGCACAGCAAAGTCGGCAGCATGTACCGCAGCAGGCTTTATCTACAAATTAAAATGAAGTTGAGATCTTCCCTAGTGGCATCCAACTACATTCAATTACCGTATTTAATGCTGATTTTACCAAAACTGCCAAGTTGGATACATTATTTTTCCTCAGTTGTTTTTGTTCAATATTTCGTACAAGTAAAGCCAAATCTCCCGACACAAAGCCTTGTGTGCGTTTTGCAACCAAATCCAAAAGTTCTGCATCGATTTTCGCATGATTAAAAAACATTATTTTCTGACTGTTTTCAAACATTGCTTCGAACAACCTTCTACGCGCTTGTTCGTTCGGCCAATCAATAGTGATTTCATGTTGAAAACGTCCTGGACGACGTGCGCTACCATTTATAGCGCATGGGTCAGATGTGGTAGCAATACAAAAAATGCCAGCACGAGTATTATGGAGGTCATCTAGTAATTTAAGCAATTGCGCACAGATTCTGTTTGAATTTGCAGCATCTGCGGTGGTCGTGCGATTGTTTGGCGCAGGACACAGAAGTTCAAGATTTTCTATGATGATAACCGTAGGATCTGAAAAATTAAATTTTGATATTTCAGTTACATTTTATAGTCATATGATTGTAAGTCAGATGTGTACGTTATATTTTACATACCCTTAGGCTTTAGATTGCTTTGTAAGTGTAATGCATTATCGAACATTTTACGTAATGATGCTTCGGTCTCACCAGCATATTGTTGTAAATCTGTGCCAATATGAAAGCAATTAAAATTGTACTTGACCAAAAATGCATTTACCAGCGATGTTTTCCCACAACCAGGCGGTCCGCAGAGTAGTACGTTTAATTGAGGCTTAATACCATTCGTATTTTTTTGATTATTTCCTAGCTTCGAAGCAGCAACTAAATCCTCCAGTTCATTCCAGGCTAACTCATAACCATGTTTGAAAAATGGTGGTGGGCCATATACATTCGGTTTTGTGCCAATATGAAAATCTCTAATATGAACTTTAGTGTTACTATCCAACTGGAAAATTGCATTTTCATCTGCATTAGAACAAGAATCAATGTAGATGGCAGATATACCCAATCGTGCAGCGTCTGCAGTGCGAACAGCACATCCCACCGACAAGTATAGCGAAGCTAAGATCTGCTTTGCGGTTATGGATAATATATTTGGAAGCGATTTACGAAGACGGCTGTTGAAAAAGTTCGCCGTTAGTTCCAGCGAGATCTCAACGTGTTCTATACAATACGTTTTAATTGATATTATGTTTATTAATCTGTCCTCGATTTCTACACTGACAAATGTGCCTACAATATTGTCCATGTAACAACATTTCGCTTCGATATCACGCGGGTAAACCTGACATATTGAAAACCCGTGGGTACTCCTTTTTGCCACTGTGCATTTCACCCAATCCCCTGGATGGAAACCGCTTGCTTTAAATATTTCTTTGGGAAGTAAACACTTTTGATAAACATTGTTCTCTACTAGCTCTAGCGGTAGCGTGTATAAATTGAGGCTGGTATTAGTTTGCATTTGTATCTGAACTTTGGTGTACTTAAAAAATTTCCCAATTGAAAACGTTGTTCTTTTTCGTATCATGCGTTGCTCAACGAGGAAAACAAAATGTTTTGTTTACATTCGTAATGTCAGAAACACCTGTTAACAGTGTTGCCAAAT